TATGGCGGCAGCTTTCAGCCAGACTTCCACTGATGTACAAGTGTATGTGTTCTCCTCAGCCTCAGCCTGCCAGCATTGATTTAGACACAGCCTCAGAGAAAGCTGCTTTGGTCTGCATGTACAATACAATGACTGAAAATTGCTCAATTGATACTTCAACCTGTATACATGTACATGCACTTGTAGATTTGAAAATGTTGAAGATGTTTCGATCCTAGCACCAAAAATAGATATAACTTATATACTCTTGTAGATTTTAGGAGGTTTTGCAAGGATTGAATCGTTAGGCCCTCCGACTTTTTGAATAGTGTTTTAGATCAGCATTTTGCCGCAATTTTTGTATTTTACACTTTTAAGAATCTCCCAGCTAGTTGGGTGCAGCAATTCACGATATTTTCCTGACTAAATCTATGAATTACATATGTGCCAGTAATGAAGACATGACGTAGTGATAATTACGTACGATGCTGATGGGATAGATAAATAATTTCCCGATGAAAATGCTGCAACCATTAATGAAAGAAAGATTGAGTTGGAATTTAGGCCGTGTCCGAAACGGGCTTCCAGAGCTGCGGCTAGGTCTATTGTCTACGTGTCTCCACACATTTCCAATGGAGGGAAGACCTAGACCTAGCTCTAGACAAGAGACTCAGATGCATCCTTAGGCCCTGTCTAAAACGGGCCTCCAGAGCTACGGCTAGGTCTATTGTCTACGCGTCTCCACACATTTCCAATGGAAGGAAGACCTAGACCTAGCTCTAGACAACAGATTCGGATGCAGCCTTACGTTACGTGGTCATGATTGCAGGAAGGTGTTCTTCCTCCATGCCCAGAACAGACTACACCTTTCATAACTCACTGCACATAGCCTCACCGTAGCTTACTTTAAGGCTGACTACCTGTATTGGAATTGAGTCCAGTCATTAGTAACAGGGTGAACAATGACACAGGAATGCTTTTGTTACACAGTTCTTTCAACTGATTCTAACTTAGTTTGTAACTTAAATGGACTTGTCGAGGTTTGGACTTCTATACTGCAGACTGAGCACGGCTTTTATAAATTCCATTTATGTGGATTTCATAAGACAAGAGAAAAGTGGGCTCAAAGCTGCAACGATCCATATTTTAAGGGGGGTGTTCTGGATGTGAGGGACAGGTTACATCGATAACTAAAGGTTGAGAAAGATTTCTTTGCTTGTATTTATTATCAGTTCGGAATCTAATCATCTGTCATATCTCCCACGTTTGATTATCAAGTACTTCATACACAGGCATCTTCTTAGCTAAGAATATTTTAGCAACTTTTACCTGAGAAAAATGCGTATGTCAAGAACCTGGCCATTTTTTTTGTTTGGTGTGACCCTATGTCATGTTGACCCCATCATTTCTACTCCTTGGTGTTTTTCCACCGTAGGAATCCATGGAGGCTTTGATCCATCACTTCAAGCTGTATACAGAAGGTTATCAAGTACCACCGGGAGCTACCTACACGGTTATTGAAGCACCCAAGGTGAGCCTAATGGGTTTGTGAATAAGCCAGGACCTTTGCTGGCCTTGAAAGATGAAGCATGAATGGGTGTCTGACATACCACCTTGGCACTGAGCAAGTAAAGTAAGCTATATTCTCACTAGAATGCACACAAAATGGTGATTGGACAAAGAAAAATGCCCCCAGTGGGAAAAGGTCAAACTGGTTTATATCCCAAAGTGTTGAGTTCATGGCACTCTTCTCATGGTTGCTATGGTAATTAAACTTTGGAATAACAAAGTAGGTGCTTGTTTTGTGATGTTCTTTGAAAATGCATCTTATGAAGAACTTCAGAATGGCACCAGACAAAAATTGAAAGTATTTTTTGAAAGAGCGAGTTGTAATACCTAGGGCTGAGTCAATTTGAATTATTCACTTTTCAAATATTTGACCTTCAATTTGATCAAATATCTGACCATTCGGTCGTACTGACCGGCAGATTGTTATTGTTGCAATAATGCACAACTGTACATCACAATCAATAGAATAGCTTCTAATACGTGTATCTAGGAGTATATCCAGCCATGATAAGATTTAAGAGATGAACAATGCTTCTTACCCAGTTGAAAATTTCTGTTCCTTTTAAATTGTTTAATGAATAATTTACTTTTTGAATCGATAGATTTCTGTTGCTCTTTATTTGAATCTGCTTGAAACAAGCCTCCATAGTGTATTTTTTCTCGTTTAAAGTAAAAAAAAATCTTCCCTTCCTTTTCATGAATTTTGCATTCGAATATTCAAATTCAGAAAATAATATTCAAATATTCGATAATCGATCAGATATTCGGCACAGCCCTGGTAATACCAGTACCATACCATTGTAAGCTTAAGAACTAATATCGCAACCTTGTTTCAACTACTGAGGTAAGTTCAGCATGAGCTGTACCTTGTGACTGATGTAACCAGTCAACCACACCATAGCAGATGAATGAATACAGCCATGTCTTTCCCTGGCTTCTGTGTTCAGGGTGAGTTTGGCGTGTACTTGGTCTCTGATGGAACCAGTCGACCATATCGTTGCAAGATCAAAGCTCCAGGGTTTGCTCATCTTGCTGGATTGGACATGGTGTCCAAGGGACATATGCTGGCTGATGCTGTAGCTATTATTGGTAAGTCCAGGGTCAAAGAATGGTTGACACCTTGACAGAATATGGCATGTACATGATGTAAACAAGAATATACCCATAGGAAAACCACCTGTTCTAATAGGGTTCCCTACCTGCTTTGATTGAAGTACAACTACAATTTTCCATATCTGCCTGGAAAAGCACCTGTAACACAGCACAAACATGGCTTGTTTTATATGTCCATGTTCGAAAAGGAAGCTGAGAATTGTTAGATGTTTTGTTTGTGTAGTCCACACTGGGGATGTTGTGGGTTTCAGTCTCTCTTAGACTAGCTGAGAGTAAGACTAGTGTTGTTCACAGCATCTCAGAAAGGACTGATAATTTAGGGTTATAACAGAGGAGTGATAAACAAATCTTTCCTAAGACTCTAAGTCTGAACTGATTAATTTGTGGCATTCTTTTTTGCAGGAACTTTGGATGTTGTGTTTGGAGAGATTGATCGTTAGATGTAGCATTGAGGTGTCATCGTTTTATAACAGCATCAATATTACATGAATGAATATGTTACCCTGAAGAAACTACCTAGGACTTGACTTCAGCATTGTTGAGTCCAGCCAGAATTAACAAAACCACTCTGTGTCTGTACAAAAATAATCCCATCAGTTTATTTTGGTGAACACTGTATATTTTTTCCATTTGGCTTCAAAAGCCAAATGAAAACACATCTGATCCCCTAAGTATTTTGTTTAAATTTAAATCTTTTATCCAGAGTCTATCTTACTTTGCACAATTTCGCCCTCAGTGGAATCAACATAAACCTTGTTCTTCATTTGACGCACTTGTAAGCACCATTTTTGCCATTAGTCTATTGTCAGGCAAAATCCATGGGAAGGAAAATGTTCCAATTTGTACACATTCAGTTGAAAATTTCATGTGTTTTCTTAATGAGTTAACTAGAGTGCTTTCTACAGTTCTTATTAGAAGTACTAAAGTTACCCAGGCTTCTAACAGAAATACCTAACATCAATTCTTTCTCAATAAACTGCAAATGGGGTTACATTTTAAGAAGGCCTGATTTAACACATTGCATTTGCAAAGACTGTGCTGAAGAAAAAGAGGGATGCTACAAATGTAAATATTTATCCCTACTGGATGTTCTTTTGACCACGCTGAGCTTATTTCCACTCTCCTCAATCTGGTAATTCAGTGTGTCTGGATCTGTGGAAATGAGTCAGATGTTGAGTAGATGCTCTTGGGTTCTACAAGACCGCATAATAAACTAAACTTTCATCAGGTGCATTTTTGATGTCATCAGGAGCCAAGTTCTTTGAATATGAATGTTAAGTTTGCCTTGTTTAAAATGTAAGTTATATTGTAGAAAACGAAATGAAGTGTGCAAGAACGAGGCAAAGTCTAAACCTACTGCATTTTTATGGAAAGGTACATGAATTGATTTCAAATAAAAAAATTTAGCTTGTCTTGGCATCAACTATAAGCATCTCATGCAGTGTAAAGAGAAACATCTAGGACGTTTGTTCACAGAGAAGGTCATCTATTGTAATTTCTGATTGGAAATTAATAACCAAGCAGAAGTTAACATGTCATTAAAAATTTGTAAAGAAAGGTTGAATAAGCAAACATGATTCTGAATCGTTTGAAAGAAAAATGTTATAAGAAAGGTTGGCTTCTTTTGTCTGGAGTTAGTACATTGAAGTTGCAGTTTGGGGGGAAATGGGAGAAGAAACCATCTCATGAAACACAACAGGTACATGTAGTTTGGATAAAGCAAAAATATATCAATTCTGTCAGTACTCAATTCTTGACCACATTTAACCAAAATTTTGTCTACTTGACCAAAGTATCAGCCCAGTCTGCTAAAAAAATTAGCTGCAAGCCATGAGTCTACTTTAGTTCTCCAATCTTGCAAATAGCCATCTTCAATAATTGAAGAATTTAGGACTGTTGAGGTTAGTAAGCTGTATCACTGAGTCAGCCCGCTTCATCAAAAACCATGAGTTAGGATTTACAAGGATGAGTGGAGGTTTTACCAAGGTGTCTCAGCTGAGTTCCTCAATGAGTCTGTGTTTTGGTTTTGGTGGGGGTTTGGTTCCACCCCATTGCTTTTCAAGAGCAAACTTGGTTGCACTGTGCTGCTCGTCCAACAACCGCCTGGATCCTAAGATAAAAAAGATGAAAGATGATACAATGAAAACACTTTTCACTCATGGAAAACCAATCTTTAATTTGCAAACTAATCAATCAAGTGTCATTGCCAGAAATCCATGGCTGTTTTCCATTCAATAGCTTTAGGAAATACTGTGTATGAGATTTATTGCTGGACAAATGAAGTTCAATGAAAGAGATTCACCTGTCTCTAATATTTACTAGGTGAGAAATATATACCAAACTCATAATTGGGAGCTGAGGGGTACATTCAGATAAGGGGGGGCAAATTGTGAACTAGCTCCAATCTATTTTAATGAATTCAATGGTCATTCTGTGGAGCTAGGTTGTCCAAAATGTGCTCTCGTGGAAACAGCGGCAGTAACTCTGGAGCTAGAGTTGGGTAACCATGGAGCTATTCATAGAAGAGTTCCCTATCCTGCATACTTTATATGTGACATACCAGTAGGCTGCACACATGCTGTGTTGCATCATAACGTTTTATTTCCAGTGCATGAACTGGAAATCTCTTCTTGGAAATCCCTTAATTTTATTTCTTCCTAGTGGATTCGAATGAGTTGGGGATATACAGTTTTTTCCATCTTTGACAAAACCTTTGTTTGTTTTTAAAATTTTAACCACTTCCTGCCGGGGACTCCAGAACCGGAGACGTATGCTTTATATGTGTGGCTGGGGTACCCAAACTCGGACAAAGGAAACAGGGCCCTGTAAAAAAAGACCGTACTCCGAACAAGAGACCAGGCTGCTGGGCATTATTGACACTTTTCACTCTCAAAAGTGGTGATAATCCAGCCTTGTGAAACCGTATACCAGGGTTTGGGGCATTTATAGCGAGCGGATTACCACAGAGGACAAAAGCGCTTCACCACTGCTGTTGTGAGCCACACAGCACTGCTGCACGCTAATCTGGCCCCTATTGAAAAGAGGTCAGCAGTGCACTGAGCCAGGTACGTGAACGAAAGAAAGTTACATAACACCACACAATCTGGGCTCTTTTTACAAGGCTGCAGGCCTGGCTGAAATACTCGGGCGTCAATGAAGGTCACCTGTCAACTTAGAGCAGTGCCTAAAGATTACTTTGTGTGGCTATAAACGTCCATTAAATGAAATGATGAAGTTATGAAGAATTTTGAAAACGGAAAAAATGATAATTATGCCGGCACAGCATCATTAACACTGAAAAATGCCCCGGCATGAAGTGGTTAACCCTACAACCTCTGGGGGCTAGAACTGGGGCTGGCTAGCTCAGTCTAAACCATTCCTGAAGCACAATTCCTTCCTTAGTTACTGTTGCACCATTCTTATTGATTGATGATATACATAAGCATGACATACTAAATATGCATCGAGCTATTTACTGTCAACATTATCCAAGATGATTATTATGTCCATACACTGACATCGTCAAAGTTAAAAGCTACAGACTGGATGATATGAGGGGTTTATGGACACTTACTGTAAATAGAATCCACTTCAAGGAACAAGATCCTAGGTTTATCTTGATTCTCTGCTACCCAGGCAAGAAAGAACTCCACCTTCTTCTGACAACTGAAGCAAGTCTTCTGAAGCTGTGGCTTATTTTCTTTTGAGGAATTTGAGTTCTCAGGATCGGCACTGCTTGTCAAGTGCTTAGTATCTGCAGAAATAAATTCATTTCAATAAAACGAATATGATGGGATTTNCCATGCAGTATCTCTTTTTGAGTCTGTGTGGTTCTGATAAGAACCGGAGATGCTCAACGTTTCGGACAGTGTGCTCTGTGAATATGATGCCAAAAAGCTTCAGCATTGCTAAATGAATCATGTTACCATGATGCTGAAGCACCACTTGATGGTATTATATACCTCACTTTGAATCCAGGTTATTCCATGAAACTGTGAAAACTATGACTTGGTTGAAAAGTAATTAACATAACCTGTTTTGTAACCAACTTTTCTGCGTCAGTTGTGAAATGCTGATCATCTGTGCTATAAATTTTGGTCAACAACAGTTGTGACCCCCATACTCAAATTCACTATTTTGCTTACAAATCTGGTATATTTACCTGATAATGTGTGAAATTCGTCAAAAAAGGCAAGTGTTTAATTATGTGATACTCCCCCACTGGTTCCTTGGTTAATACGGGCGTTTCACGATAGTGTGCCTCCAAGAGTTTGCAACGCGTTGGCCAATCACAATGTGAAAAATCTGTCAACCCAATGCACATTTGGAAAGGGTCGACAAATTTTGCAGTTTGTGATTGGCCAATGTGTTGTAAACTCTTGGTTGCACACAACTATTGTAAATTACCCATATTGTCAATGATTATAGCTGTCAAATCTTTGACAAGCAGTTTCTTGGCTGTGCAGTGAAGTATGTGCAGCTAGAAGAATGACTGGATGTAGTTAAACCAAGGAGAATTATAAACATAAAACAGCCACCTATAGGACTGTGGGGTATCAAGCTTTTGATTCCAGAATAACTAAACAGGGAGCCTCTTAGAAACAATCTTTCTAAAATTATTCATTTTTCAAAGAACCCCCTTTAAAGGAAAAGGTGCTTATGTTTCTAAACTGAAGTATTGACCCTTTAAATTCCTTTAGCCCTTAAGGTCCTGAATCCTCCAATTTCAAAACGATTATACATACACCTTAGAGGGTTAGGGTTAAAAACTAAAACACGTCTCCAGGGGAAGCAACATTTCGCGAACCAAGGAATGGTGGAAAACTTATTTTTGTTGCTCCAAATAACCAGTGCAGGTCAGAAAGCAAGCCATGACAAAGTAGAATCACACCAAGTTGAAATACTGGTAGCTGTTACGAGGCAAACCTTTGGCAAGCTGTTTCTTAGCTGCTCCAAATAATCTATGCAGATCAGACAAGGCAGCATGGACATAGCTGATCGGTGCATCATGTGCTGCCCCTAGGAGAATGTGAATCACATCTTGGAGAATGGATGTGGAAAATACGTTACTTGTTGACAGGGACTGGAAAGAAACAAAGAAAACCAAAACTGATTCTCAAAAATGTAAACAATTCTACTGCAAGATCAAAGGAAATAAAACTACATACATTATGCAATTTAATGCCAAGCTCAAAAGGCCAAGAACAAGTGTTTCTGGTATCCTTTAGGTGCTTCACACACTGAGAAAATCCCCATTATATGAGGACAGCAGGTTACAGCCTTCAATTAACACAACTCTATCGGCAAAGAAAGGTTTTAAATCAGTTCCAACAGAGAGTATCAAACATATTTGCAAGTAAAATATGAATTCACACTGTTCTCTGGAGATGTTATCATTACATGTATGTGGCATCACAGTGACCCAAGAAATCCCAAAGTAAAGCTAAGGTTATCAAGACCGGCCTTTATCACAAAGCATAAACTGAGATATATATGACAAGGATGAAAAATAACGTCAGTATCACAACGTGTCCCATTGTGTGTAACTGCTACTCTTTCAATTGGCATATTGTGCACAAAAAGACAGTGCATTGTAGGTCACCTCACGCAACAACCTGTCCTCTCCATCATTTCATGGTGCAATTAACAATCTATAACGGCTCACCTTTAATGCATTGTGTATTGCACTTGCCAAGGACTCTTCTGTTCCACTGTAATTCACATTGTCACTCAGAGTGGAAGACAATTCCAACAAGTTCTGCACAAAATTACAAGGCAAAATCTTCAGTCCTTAGTGTTTGGTTTCTCAAACATCATGATGCAACAGTACACATTTTAAAAATTCAACTGAGGGGAACTTTAACAATTGACTGGACCTCCCTGAACATTTTTACTAAAATCCCACTGAATCGCCCCAAAGCAAACACTGTGCATTGTGTAATGCAGGAGTGCTTATGACCTACTCTCTCAGTGTAATATAATGAAGCCTCTACGAGGTTTGATTGTAAATGATACAATTTGAACTCCATATAGTGACACAGTAAATGCATCGGTGTAATAAGAGAGGCAAAGGAATCTGAAGGTCATTCATCTGATGAACCCAACAACTCGAGCATAATCAGTAATGCACAGTATTTATAGATCGCCTGGAATTCCTACAGAAGTCAGGAGTAACAACGTACCTGAGCAACTGGTAGAGGTAAATCTCTGTGTGCTCCATTGTACAGTCTGACAACACACGCATAGCTGTATCTGGTCACATCACTTAAGAGAAATAATCAGTTTTCATCAGGTTTTTTCATCTGTCCCATTGTTGCAATAGCCTACAGATGTTAACACACCAACACTTGAATAAACCTATAAATACCTCAGGCTGAAGTTACCCTCTAAGGCTGGCAATGATCCAGTACAATACTTCCTTCATAGAGTTGTTTGGTTAGAGTAAAATGGTTTCAGTCACCTACCCACTAGCTACACATCCAGTAGACCAGTAACATAATGATGTCACTGTCCTACAGCAGTGAGGTGAGCCCAGATCCAACTGAGCCACCTTATAAACAAAGCATGATGTCATTGTATTTTTAGGTCTATTCAATTCTAAATTTACAGGAAAACTATGAAAAGGATACAGAATGTTCAGTAGATTGTACATCACAGATTCTGATGGCTTCTTGTTTCGTAGTAACTCGCTCAACTTTGGAATCTTTTTGAGAATGGATGGACACGGGCAAGAAATTGATAATTCTGAAATATTTTGATTGGTCTTTTCCTCCTCTTTATAATTCAAGCCAAAATCTGCGGCCATTTTCTCAAGGTCTACTTCAATCTCGTCCGCATATGATGGTTCCTTCAGCTTTTCTGGGGCTGGAGTTGACTGAAGTGGAGTGGGCGTTAGTGGCTCTATGCCAACTTCTTTGACAAGGTTCTGGTCCTATTTCATGAAAAGAAAGAAATAAGCTTTTATAAAGAAACAAGTAAGATCAGCTGGTGAATGGTAGACAGGATGTGCAGGCACACAACTTGGACCTTGACACAAACAGAGGAAATTCCAATCTTTACAAGACTTTCTACAATGTTTTTCAATTTTTCAGTCTGAAGTGGAAAATGAGGAAATCAGCCGATCCGAGGAAAAGTTGCGTGTCTGAATGTGTCCATGCATCTCTGCATAGAATATCCTGGACCAGAATTAGACGCCAAAGTTGTGGTAGAGCAGTCAACCTGCATCCCCTCTTGCCGTCCTCTT